TTTAAAGGGGATTTGAAATTGTTTCAATACCAACTGAATGTCCTTGGACCTTCTCAGACTTTATTTAATTTACCCTAATAACACAACATCCTCAGGTCAAGTTCTGTTCTATATCATGAATCAATGTTAATTAAACTGCAGGTTACCACAGCAACAAGCCTTTCTTTGACGGACAGCACGAGTTAACCAATCACCTTGATGGATGAGGTGTAGGGCACCCGAATCTCCTGCTTGTGATCGGTGAAGAGGCTGGGGGCCACGGCCGGGACCTCCCAGGGCTGGGGGGCGGTCTGGGTGTAGAAGTCAGCCGGCTCACCTGTCAGTCACACGAGGCAGATGTCTCAACCCAACTGTCGATCAAAACAATCTGAAAAAATATCTTTCGAAAATAATTCCAAATTAAAAAAACAAATTAACTGGGCGAGGGTGCCCACCTGGAGACAATATTTGTGTCCCCTATCGGGAAAAAGCTGATTTTTACGTCACTAGTTAAGGTTATGTGGCGGCACAGGGGTGTAGTCAACTGGGTTTGAACACCACAGCAGGTCGCTGCCCTTCTGTGTGAAGCTTGCATGTTCTCCTTGTGACTCTGTGGCTGTTCTCCAGCAGTCCAGAGGCAGCTTAGGTTACTGGAGACTTTCATTTGCCTGTAGGTGAGAATGCGAAGGCGAGTGGTTGTTTGTCTCTACATGTCAGTCCTGCAATACGCTGCCTGTCAAGGGTGTACGCCACCTCGCTTGGATTGGATCCAGTCCCCAAAGGAAGAGGTACAGATAATGGATGGATGGATAATTAAGGGAAGGGTAAGTGTGTGTGTGTGTGTGTGTGTGTGTGTACCTTCGTGAGGTTTGTGGGCCCACTCAGTCGACCTGGACTCAGTGAATGTCTCCAGCCGGTACTACAGAACAGATCATAGTCAAGTCATTATTCAAAAAAAAAAGAAATGATTCACAGACATGGCTTGATGATGTCACATGTAGCTGATCAGTATGATGGACGCTGGTTGACTTGTTGCTGTGAGCAACCAGAGACTTTCCTCTGTCAATGAGAACTGGATTTCTGTGAATAATCTCTGGAGGAATCTGAGTTTAGTTTGTCTACAGTGTAAAATGCTGCACATTTAGCTCGAGTGAAACATGAGCTGTCAGACAGCTGTTATTGATTAAAATAGAATCCTGCTGTCAGTCAGACTGATCTGGATTTAGGCATCGAGATGCTTCACAGTTCTCCACATCACGTGAGAATCATTTTAGTGTTAACATGTGAAATTGTCTTAAGTCACTCCAGACCAATCAGAGCGTCTCTTTCTGACATTCCTCTTAGTGTGGACAAATGCTGAGGGAGTGGACAGAAACCGACAGATCACTTAAATAACAGGGCTGACACTTAAAGACCATCTTCACCTGGTGTGAACAAGTTATCTGTGATCTGGATCAGGATAAAGTCATGTGAACACATGCAGCAGAATGTGATCAGATTGTTCAGACCATGCTGGAGGTGGTTCGGTTTAGCACGTGGATACCTGACCCCAAGACCCTCTGGGCTCGTCAGGGTTCGGACAACGTTTTTAAATGATATTAGGGATCGGGACGGGTTCTGGTCAGGGTGGTCACGTTAGCTTGGTTATCTATTTGGTCTTTTACACTGCATGTGTTTGTAATCAAGAAAACAAGCGCTCCCTGCTGATGAGGGACGGAAACACAAACTCACTGCAGCTTACATCAAGTGCATCGGTCAGACTCAGTTAGTTTGTATTTGTAGATTGGGTGCATTTAAGCTAAAACATCTAAATCGTTGGAATGCATTTTTCTGCAGACGTAATATTTCAAAACATTTATTTTATTTATTTAATTTCTATTTCTTTTTAAATCCCTTTTGCTTAAATAGTTTAAATAGTTTGTCTCTGTATGTTATGTATGTACATTGTTGCATACACCGCCTTTCGCCCAATGTCAGCTAGGATTCACTCGAGCTGCTCTGAGACCCTCAGACGATAAGCAGTATAGATGACAGATGGAAGCATGATGGATGTGTAGAAATGAGCATATGAGTGGTTTTAGCTGTAAACGCTAAGTCCTGTGATCAATTGCCATTATCCAGATAACACAGACACTGATGTCCAAGTCACGAACCGAACCAATCAGCGATCTGTATTAACTCAGCTGACACTGACAGAAACTGACTGGAGCATCATTCAGGAACAAAAACTGCAGTGTCACACCACAACAGCAACATAAACAGTGTGAACATCCAATCACCCTGAAGGTGTTCAACGGCTCCATGCTGGTGATCACTCCATCTTTGGCCGGACCATCACTGTAGCAGCAATTAGACGATGCAAAGTTCTTGAACGCCTCACGAGCCACATTCTCATCCAGAGATGGGATGCTGCAGAGCACACACACACACACAGACACACACACAGACACACACACACACAGACGGACACACACAGAAGCCATTTTCAGTTTGAACATTTCTGGGTCAGACGCGTTCACAACATCAGGATCAGGTGAAATCAGGTCTTACCACCAGTTGTCGGGTACAGGGCCGGGTTGTGGAGGGGCCACAGGCTGCAAGGGCATGGGAGGGGGCACATAACCACCTGCATAAGCGACAACAACACATTTAATATCAGCGACCTCATGAATATTGAGTGAACAATTGTGGTTTGGTTGCCACTTACCTCCTCCTGCCACTGTGCCCTCATAGCCAGGCACGTTGCTGAACATGTTGGCTTGGGGGGCGTTGAGAGGGGGATACATAGCTGACACAAAACAGAAGGACACAGTTGTTACACCTGATCATCAAGTTACACGTTTAACAGCTGAAGCCTGGTGCACACGAGAGGTTTTTCAACTCTTGATTAATTTTAGAAACATGGGAGACCACAGACAATGAACCGATGTCTGATCTTATAATCTTCAGGACATATTTGCTGGACAATTTGGCTAGAACATAACACCACAAAATTGCTGTTTGCAGGAAGCGATTTCACAGTGGCGATTCCAGAGATTTGGAAACTCCTAGAAACTTGCAAGATTCTTCTTTTTGGCGGTTTGCATACAACCTTCAGGCGCATTAAGATTCCTTTTTATTGTCCCACAATCATGCACACACAGCACTACATGCAACATGGCAGCGACCTCACTGAGTGAACACTTGTGGTTTGGTTGCCACTCTGCATTTAACCCATCCATGTGAAAAAAATGGGCAATGAGCAATTGGGGGGTTCGGTACCTCAGCAGTTCTCAGGAGGTGAAGTGGCACCTCTCCAACTACCAGTCCGCCTTTCATACTTCAGTCCATGCTGGACTTGAACCGGCCACCCTCCAGTTCCCAAGACAAGTCTCTATGGACTGAGCTACTGCCTCCCCTTATCACTACCTTCTGAACTGGAGTGTGGAACAGTGACATGATTGAACATCACTTCAGAAGGAAAACAAACTTGACTTTTGTGGGTTTCTGTCGGAGTCGATTATAATAAATATCAAACATGTTTGACCTCTATGTTTCGGGGAGGGGACGATTAGGATTATTTGGTAAACCCCTCACACTATAAACACAATTATTTGGGCAGATAATCGGCACCGGCTGACAGAAGAAGCCAATCGTGTCTAAAATCAGCCTTTGGTGTGCAGCAGGGAGAAAACAACTCGCCGAATAGATTTTAATCAGACTCAGTCCTCTCCTGGAAATTCCGTTGCATTGCTACCCTCCTTCCCCAGACCCCCCCAGCCCTCCCAACCACTGCAGCTGTTCCAGTAAGTCAAGTTTTAATGGTGAAACCAGAGACTTCACAGATGAGAAAGAGGCAAAACTTCTCAAGCTCAATTATCAGGACAGATTTTTTTTCATTCTGACTTTCAACTGATTTGATCTACCGTGTGGAATGTCTCTTACATTTACTATCAGTTAAATATTACAAGCTGCTACTTGAATGTTCGGTACGCTCTGCCAAATAAAGGACAGACGTTTCAATTAAGAGAGAAAAATCATATGTTGCACAACAAACCTCAAAGTTTATTTCATAACAACTCATAGATGTTTATGAAATGGTTCAACTAGTCAGACGACACGATGCCTGAACAAAACTTGATGTTTTACAAACATGATCTGATGGTTGCTTCATCCACTTATATATTATTTTTATTCATTAAAATATTTTATTGCATTTTTAAACGACCACAGAGTGAACTGAAAAGTCTGAACTGTGTCAACTCACATTTCTGGTGAATAAATAAAATAAATCTCAGATTTGTCCTTAAGGCTTTAAATTTCCAACAGGAAGTCTGTTACAAACTGAAAGACACGGGAGGGTCTCATGACAGACCAGGATGCATTGTGGGAAATGTTGCCTCAAGTTTAGTCTACAAACTGGAAATCAAGTCAGTGTATCTCAGCATCTGCTGCGCAGATTTTCATTATATGGGCGAGACAAAGCAGGAGGTAGGAGAGGAGAGGAGGAAGTAAAGAAGGAGAGTAGAAGGGAGAAAATAAGAGGAAGAGCGTATCAGAAGTAGTTAAAGAATTCAGAGGGCGGAGAAAGGAAGTAGAGATGGAGATTGGAGATGATCACAATTTTTTTTTATTATTTAAAGTTTCATATACTTTTTTGACAGTTATTTCCCTTTTTTGCTCAACACTTTGTTCCAAATTCAATTTAGATTTCTCCGTCTAAATCTTGGTTAAGAATTAGACCTTTTCTTTTCTCATTTTGCCAAACCTTTTACTTCGCATTATTTGTTGTCACAATTGTGATGTCACAATCACATTTTGTCTCCTGGATCTCATCAAGGTGTGGCATCCTGTGTTCTTAACCCTCAACAAGAGTAGAACTACCAAAAAAGAGTATCCCTCTCCGAGGACGGACACAAGTACAATAGATGCTGCGTGTAACTGAACAACATTACAACATTTACAACATTGATAGAAGAAACAGTTTGTGACATAATGGAAAAGTGTGTTAAGTTTAAAGTATTTGTACATAAGAAAATAATGTCAGCTAGAGATGAAGGGAACAGCATGTTATTTTTAGTAAAGGTAGAATATGTGACTATTTGAATAAACTGTATTTACAGGTGCAGTGTCTTGCCCTTGACCTAAGTTCGAAGTGGTTGTAAAACACACAAGACAAAGTTTAAACACTATTGAAGTGAAACCCCCTGAAGTTCAACTGGATTAAATGTGACTTCTATAACAAATATTTGTTATAGATGTATGATATGTAAAAACTCTTTATCTCTGACACTTTCATTTTGAATCTGAACACTACTGAAGACTTGCCTGGGTTTTTCTAGTTTACATTGAATCAATCAGGACACTTGATTGAATTAATCTTTTCATTGTCTTAAAGGTACGGTGTGTAGAATTTTGTGATATCTAGTGTTTAAGTTGCATGTTGAAGCTGAACACCCCTCACCTCACCCTCTCCTTGCAAACATGAAGAAGAACCTGTGGTAGCTACAGTTGTCATAAAAACTCGTAGAGAGGGTCCCCTCGATGTGAATATAAAGTATTTAAATATAAAGTATTTAAATATAAATGTCCTTTTCTGGTGTAAAGAAAACTACAATTCATACAATTTAGATGAAATGAACTAGTGAAAACATCATGAGGATTATTCTGCATTAAATTAATGCCAATAGTTTCCTTTCACCTAAATCTTACACACTGGACCTTTAAATGTCAAATTGAGCACTTAAAACAGGAGGTTAAGTTTAAGTTAAGAGTTAAACCCGGACTGAAGTTACTCTGAGGGGCTAAAGACAGATGTAACCCTGCAGTAGTTCCAGGCTGGAGGTTCAGTCTCTGCGGAGCTGCGGGTCTCTGGGCGGGTCTCTGCGGATTTCTGCAGCAGAGGGGGTGCTGCGGTGACTCTGGTGACTCTGGTAATGTTGTGTCGCGTCGTGTGGTTCGGTTCCTACCTGCACTGTTCATCCTGATGCTGTTGGGTGTGGGCTCGGCTCGGATCAGCTCGGTTCAGTATTGATGAGTCTAAGAAACCTTCCAGTTAAATTCGCTCCACCTTACACGATGCTGGGATCAAACCATAGACTGTACATAAAGAGGATCAACCTCCGCAGCAGCAGAGGACACAACTTCCTGTCCTAACTCCAAAATAAAAGTCCACAAAGACCTTCAGCTTACCTGCTTAAGTGATTTACAACCTATTGCTATCTGTCTGTCTGTCTATCAGTCCATCCATCCATCTATTCTTCTATCTGTCTGTCCATCTATCTTGGATGTGCATGAACTGAGCCTGCCGATAATTAGACTCATCTGAGAATCTCTATTTTTCTCACACCTCAAACGTTGGCGTTGTAGTTTCCACATTGATACTGACGGAGTAGTTCTGACGAAGCATGAGTGTCAAATTACAGGCGACCAAGAGAAGTTGTGAAATTTTCGACCCTTTTCTATCCAACGGCTATTTAAATTTGTACGAGTTCCTTTGTGGACCTAATTGACTGAATACATTACACACTAACCTCGATGACGTGATGGCTGGAACTGTTTCGTTTGGTGCATCTGACGTCAGATGGTAGGGATGATGATGCTACTCACAGCTAGTTTTCCAGGTTTAGGCCAGTCAATCTTGAAAGTCTTGGCAAGAGTCCATTTAGGAAAGACCTGCTCACATGCAGCTGCAGGTCGCCCTAAACAGAAACAACGTTCAGTGCATGTCTCCTCAAAAAGACGTACACATAGTTTATAGAACCCGAGAGAGTTGTTGTACCTGCTGTAGCTCTGAGCTTGTTGCTGTTTCGCAGCTTCCTTCATTTGTGCTGTAGGTTGTCAGCCGCATCAGTTGGTTCCACCTTTAACAGTTTAACAAAACTTCCTTTTATTTACTTTTCATGTCCTGAAACCTTTGGCCTAATGCCTGAAGGAGTTTTACACAATCTCCTGCATAATCAGCCAACAAACGTTTGTTCTTGCAGGAAAATAGAGTGGTTTTTTTTACACGGAACACAATTTTATGTGTTTCTAGCAGCTCTGCAGCAGCAACAAGCCCCATTCACAAATTCTCCTCCTTCGTGGCCAGGAGCTAACTTTAACTTTTCTCAGTGTGCTTTGTTTGTCCTCTAAATGTCAGAGTACTTATGTTTACAATGCAGCCATTCATAAGAAATGTCATTACTGACACTGTGCTAGACAACCATCTACAAATATAAGTCACTCTGAAATACATTTGGACCGACAATGAGGCTTTCATTTTGAAGGACACCGTCACAGCCTGCAGTGGGAGTGTGATGTTGTTCAGTAGCTTGTTGTTGATTAGCGGCAGGAATGTGACCAAGCATATGAAGCTGATTAAAGAGCTGAGCACAAACAGTGAGAAGAAGTGGACACAACAACAAGAACCAACACAAACTGATGCGTGGAATATGACTCATGTTGCTTATTGATCAGATGCAGAAGATAAAATGTCAACACTGATGATACGTTCTGGCAAAATCGCCTTTTTCATTTAAAGGCCCAGTGTGTAAGAATTAGGTGAAAGGGAACTATTGGCAGAAATTTAATGTAGAATAATCCTCATGATGTTTTCACTAGTTCATTTCATCTAAATTGTATGAATTGCAGTTTTCTTTACCCCAGAAAAGGCCCTTTATATTTAAATACTTTATATTTACATCGAGGGGACCCTCTCTACGGAGGCTGCAATGTTTTTTTTACAACAGTCCAGACTGGACAAACTAAACACCTTTTGAGTCTTTATGACAATTAAAGTCTACCACAGGTTTGAAAATAGAGGGTGAGGTGAGGGGTGTTCAGCTGCAACATGCAACACTAGATATCACAAAATTTTACACACTGTACCTTTAAATCCTAAAACCCGAAACCAGAAAGATCTGAGTTATTGTTGATTCTGATTAAAATTTTAACTCCCACATTAAAATCGATTACACAATCATAGTAAAAAAAATAAAAATTGAGGATATGTGACTCAACAAAATCTAGAAGGACTCGTTCTTGCTGAGGTTAGATCACTGACATAGTCTTTTCTCAGGGCTTCTTTCAAATAAGACTTTTAAAACATTGCAGCTGCAGATTAGACTGAATCCTGCTGCTTTTACAGTTCTAACATAAAAAAGCTTAATATCACACTATGTACTCAGATTTCAAATATCAGTGACTGTAAAGTACTGTTAGTTTTCTACAAATCACTTAATTGTTTTAAGGGTCTAAGTAATTCTCTGACTTGCTTCCACACTTTGAACAATCTGGACCAATCTGCTCGGAGATTAAAATAAAACAGTGTGAAGCTGGAATAAATTACCGGACGATTTCTGATGTTCTCTGAATCTGGATACTTTAAAATTGTATTCTTTTTGTTTATTTGTATTTCCTCTGTATGAATGAACTTGTGTTGCAGCAGTTCTGCAGCATCTCAGAGGCGCGGAAGATAACTGTTCCTTTAACATCAGCGAAACATGTCTGGAGCTGTTCTCCCCCTCGTACAGGTTCAGGCAACTTGTGTATCCTGAAGGTAAATATTTCTCAGGTCAGTAGGAAGCAGCCCCCCTGATAACCTTGAAAGCAAATGTCAGCCAGAGTGAGTCAAGACCCAAGGAGGAGCACGGAGTCTGTTTTAAATATAGGGTTGAAAATGTTCAAGTTCAGATGCTTTCCCAGAAACAAAGTGTGACGGAGCAGCTCCACAGTTGGTTACACACACACACACACACACACACACACACACACACACTGACTTACCAGGTGGGGATGCACTATTTATAGTTAATGCCACTTTGTTCAGGCATTTGAAATGTTTAAAGGTACAGTGTGTACAATTTTGTGATATCTAGTGTTGAAATTTCATGTTGAAGCTGAACACCCCTCACCTCACCCTCTCCTTCCAAACATGAAGAAGAACCTGTGGTAGCTTCAGTTGTCATAAAAACTCAAAAGGTGTTTAGTTTGTCCAGTCTGGACTAATGTAAAACACATGGCGGCCTCCGTAGAGAGGGAATGTATAAATACATTCAAAACGCCACAATTTTCCTGTCACGCCTTTGTTTTCACATCTTTTTGACCTCTGTAGAGAAACATATGGACGGGTGGATTAACCTAGGGACCTATCTTAACACTCTTATCAGCTCACCTGAGGCTTAAGCATAGTAAAATGCATTTTGCTCCCAGTGCACATTAATACAAACCAGTTGAGACCACAGACTGTAAATAAAGATGGACAACATGTCTCTACTTCTTCTTCGTATCCAGAAATGAAGAAAAGATATTCTGCGTACAACACTGCCATTATTTGCCAAAGAGACATCATTGTGCAACGGTGGTCGGGGTCAGCGGAGTCTGACCCGGTTTTGTAATATTGTATAACTAAAACCAAAGCTATCAGAGATATGAACACTTGGACCAACAGTGTGAAAAGAACTCCCCACAATGACCGAAACTGTCTTGAAAAAATTACTTGATGTGATTTTCGACATTTCAGTTTTGACATTTTCTTTCCCTTTTTAAATCCTCCTTCAGATTTTTTGTGTTTGGGGACATTTGCCCCTGACGACACGCTGGAGGTTTGAAGCTGTTGTTGTTGTACTGTTGTGATCCAGGTTATAAATGATATCAACACACTTATCATGATACACTTATCACTTATCGTGACCGTGTCAGTGAGAGGAGGTCTGAAAAAGGGACCTCAGAAGAGATTAAAGTACTGTAAAGACAGCTGAGAGCATTCAGCCAGCAGGGGGGGCCAGGGTCTCACAAACACACACACTCACACACTCACACACACACGCACACACTGACACTGACACTAGTATAGGAATGTAAACTGAAGACACTCTGCCAGTGTGTGTGTATGTGTGTGTGTGTGTGTGTTTGTGTGTGTAAGTGTGTGTGTGAATAAAGAGGGAGAGTTACAGTTCTGGGATCAGAAACTTGGACCACAGACTCAGAGGAAACTTATAGTTTAAACAAACATTGGTGGGTGTTTGATTCTCTGCATTCTCTCCTCTTTTTCTGGAAATCCAACGCACCTCAGTGTTTGAAATGTGCTTTAGAATAATGTGCAGGTCTGTGGACACTATCTCTTAACTGTCAGATATCTGCTCCGGATCTGGAACAAAACTAATAGTTATCTGACCTATACCACTTCTCACATTCTACATTATTTATTTCCCTCTGATTGTGTGTGAATTTCATATTGTACGTTGTAAAGCACTTTGTTACTTGTGTTAAATAGTGCTGCACAAATACATCTATCATTTATATTATTATTATCCATCCAGTAGTTTTTGCATAATTTGATACACATAATCAAATGACTACATTTTGTTGTGTCAGGTATTTGTGGCGACTAATGAACGAACTGCAAGATCAGATTTTTAATTAGTGCAAGTGACTTTACCGGTGTCAACGTTTTTCTTCAGGGTATCTGCCAGTTTTAGAGCCTTGAACAGAGAAATTTAAATTATAATTTTGTGTTCTCAAAACTTGTAATAAAAGCTAGGTTAAAATAAAATAAGTCAGCTGCACAGCTCAATATCAAACCTCTATTAGTCATGAACCAATAACCCATATTACAGCAGCCAATTGCTGGAGTTTCATGTCCACTGCTGGAAAACAACAGAAGAAAAAGAACTTTAGCCTTTATCAAATCTTCTCCATAACTTTTACACCTCAGAGAGGAAACACCAATGTTTCTGTTGCTAACAGCTCTGAGCCTCTGGTCCTCCTCCACTGAGAGGATGTTTACACATCACTCTGTGTATGTGTGTGTGTGTGTGTGTGTGTGTGTGTGTGTGTGTGTGTCGTCCGGGTTGAGCAGTCATGCATTCTTTCCATTACCCTCATCAAATCAATGTTAAACTCTCCTCCATCCACTGACCCTGTGCAGAGTGTGAGTGTGTCGTCCAAATCACCCCATCAATAAACAGATATTTGATCTGTAAAAACTGGGACGACCCGTCTGACGGGGTTTCCTGCTGAGTCCTGCTGAATTACAGCACTTTGCTGTTGCTTCACAGCAGCTCTGCTTCATTTCTGTTCATTGCGTCTAAAAAAAAATTAAAAAATAAAGTCTGGGTCACTGACTTTCATGATCATGTGACTTGTCCTCTCTCTGTGGTTTTGAAGGACAGGTCTCAACTGTAGAGTATAAAGATGGATGACATGACATCTTCCCAAAAGTGAAGCCAAATCTTGATTGCCCCCTGCTGGCTGGCTGCAGTGTTGGTCATAACCACCCGCCTTCTCCATGTTAGCAGATGGGACATGGACCAAACTGAAAAATCAAAGTACACAGTATCTGTCATTTTTATGTATTTGCTATAACTAGTTAAATAACTAAAAAAAATACAATTTGACATAGACGTTTAACTCACCCTCAAGATGATTTATAAAAACATCTAACTGCATTTTCAGCTCAACATTTCCATTTTTCCATTACACTAATTCATGACTGACTAATTACCGCAGCTCGTCATATTTGCCTGAGAGGCTAAACTCAGGGCAGTAAAGACACTAGAGACGCTGTCCCATCCATCAAACACAGCCTGGTCCTCGTCAACCACACAGAGGTATCACCATGCTGCCATGACGACCGCTGACTAAACAGCCTCTTCTTCAACTGTAGCTAACGGTGAACAGGTCACCATGGCAACAATAAACATCCAGGAGGCTCGGCGTTGACGTGATGAACTGAGAGTGTTTATGTTTATGTGAGGTAAATCACGGTGGTTTGATCCCTGCGGCTCCTGCCAAGAAATTACAACTCTACTAAATCAAATACGAAATTAGTAAGCTATATAACGTTAAATCTAATGATTAAAAACAACCAACACACAAATCAAATAAAGCATTTTGGTTCTTGTGAAAATTTTTTGGAAAAAGAAATAAGAGAAATAAAGAGTGACTTGCCTAGTTACAGTTTCTTGGCGATTGGACAATTGCTGTTCAAGGGAAGGGATTCCTGATGGGTCAATTGCAAATGTTAAAAACAAACCGACAACATTTTATCAGGTTAAGTATTAAAATAAACGCAAACGAAATCCATATTTATATATATATATAGATTAATACATCACAGTGTTCGTCAGCAGACAAATGTAAAACCATGATTTTGATGTGATCGCACCATTTAGAATTTATTCTGCACAGTGCTGAAACTTCAGGGAAACAGAACAGTGGGACACTACAGGACATCACACACACACACACACACACACACACACACACACACACACACACACACACACACACACACACCCATACAGATTCTGAACACTCACTCCATCTTTAACAGTGATGATGCTGCACAGTTGTCTTCAGCATCTTTATACTCAGAAGGAAAATCACAGAAATGTTTCAACCAAAGGTCAAAGGTCAGGGAAATGAGTTGGTTTAACTGATCACAGTGAGAATGTTGAAATCCGCTGACTCCATTCGTCCGTTCGGATTGTTTTTATCTGGCTGTCAGCAAGCTGAGCGTGACAGTCACAGCAGACACCATCGTCCATGATATCACGACCGGCGAGAACGTCAACAAGTCCAAAAATAAGAGACTCTTGGTGGACACGTGTTCAGAGGACGGCCAGGTCGTGGCAGCTCTTGGACCGCACTTTGACCGCCATGCGCTGGTTGTTGCGTGCCACCAGTCTGTCCAGGAATCGCCGGGCCTTCTGGGTAAGGCTCTCCTTGCGTTTGTAGATGGAGCGGCGCTGCTGAACAGCCTCACCGCCGTCCTGCCGGAGACGGATCTGTCGGACCACGCCTTCAAACAGCTCGGCCACATTGTGCTGCAGAGATGCCGACGTCTCTATAAACTTACAGTCAAATACCACCGCACATGCTCGGCCCTCTGGGAAAAAAGACACGTGTAGAAAAAGGATATATCATTATACTGTCTCCTACTGTTGTTGTGTTGTGTTTATGTACAGTGTCTTCAGAAAATATTAACGTCCCTTCACTTTATGCACATTTTATTATATGGATTTAATTTTAAACTGTCCTCAATAATCCATTATGACAAAGTGAAAAATAGTTTTTACAGATTCACTAAAAATGAAGAACTAAAATCTCTGATTTACAAAAGTTTTCAGACACGCTTTTAAGCCCTTGCAGCTTTGAATCTTGCAAAAGGCGAAGGGGTCTGAATTCACTCTGAAGCCACTGTGCGTCTCCCATGTGACCTTTGACCCCCACCTTCTATAGCGACTTCTCTGGACCGTACCAGGTCGCTCTTGTTGCCCACAAGGATGATGGGAAGGTTTTCTGCCTGACGGGTGCGTCGCAATGTGATGCGGAGCTCAGCGGCGGAGTCGAAGGTGGAGCGGTCTGTGACGGAGAAGACGATGACGTACGCGTTTCCCACTTTCAGACAGTCGTCCTGAGAGGAGCCGCCCTCCCCCTCCTTATGGGTCGAGAGACACAGACACAGAGAAAGAACTTTTGATTTTCAAAAGATGGATTCTATCCATAAGTGAAGCCAAGCATCTCAATCAGCCCCTGGTGGCTGGCTCAAGCATAGATCCTAAATCCAGCCCCCTTCATGTTAGTGGATGGTACATTGACCAAACTAAAAAGTCAAAATACACCTTTCATTTTTCTTTCTGTATTATTATAAGATGTTGTTCAAGAAACCGACTCGACAGCAGCATTCCTGTCTATCATCTTTTGACTTAATGTCTGGATAGTGTGAGGAGGCGGAGATGCGAAGTCCATTTGTATTTACAGTCGATGATGTTAACACTTCTACGGCTCTTGATCTGGTCAGAGTCAGAGTTAATAGCAGCAGGCTGAGAAGCCTAAACATACTTTAATCTGGAAACATTCTTCAGATCATGCTGCAGGACCTTGCAAAAGCTCCCAGGCATGCTGGGAGATGAAGTCCCTTCAGTGTGTGCTGGGTCTAAAATGGTCTGAGCTTAAGACGGCTGAATTTAAGCAATCAAGAACAAAAAGATATGTAACATCACAGTGCAATGACCCTTTATACCATTGGTTATCTTAAAAAAATAAATCATCACCAGGAATCATTAAACTGAACTAAATAAATCAATGAGAGTCAACAAAGTGATTCATAATTTCCATATCTCCGTGGTCCAATAAAACCAGAAGGTCTGACAGTCAGTGTCAGTGAAGCGGACAGATCCCAGACAGTGGCTGCATCATGTCAGTGAACATCTTAAAGTGGAAACTCCACAGTTTCCACAGTTTCCACAGTGAACTGAGAAAAAAAAACCTCTGCACATTTTTATCAGTTAACGTAAAACTCATCAAACTGTAAATTCAGTACTTTTAAAGAGCACCATAATTCTTTATTAAGAAAAAAACATTCATACAGTAGAACAGATTTACTGCAGGTTTTAAAAAGAGCATTGTGGAAAATGTGCCTCTGTGTAAATAAAAAGTTTATCCTAACACTTTGTCAGTATTTACAGCGTTGTGTTCACACCGTACCAGTTTGTCGTTCTCCCAGGTGTCCATGACAACGAGCGTGGTTTCCTCTCCATCTACTGTCAGTGTTCGCTCATATGTGTCCTCTGTAACAAACAATAAACACAAACAATAAAGAGAGAGATTGGAAATCTGTCACTATGCTCGCAGCATTAACTTAAACACAGTGAAGCTTCGATACAAATGCTAATGTCAGCATACTGACAGACTCACAGGTCTACACGCAGGTTTACCATCTTCATCGTGGAAAATGCTAAATATACATTTTATACATTATAATAAACAAAAAGAACAGCTAAGGCTAACGGGAATGTCATTAGTTTGCAGGTATATGATCATATACTAAAGAATTGGACAAATTCAAATTTACACTATTCACAATTTTCTTGGCAATTTCTTCTTGTTGACATATTTCAGTCTGTACTGAAGTGGTAGACACACCGACCAATCAACCAATCAACCAATCAACCAACCAACAGAGCAACTGGTTGACCAACCAACCGATGACCAACCAACCAACCAACCAACAGAAGGACCGACTGACCATCCGACAGACACACCAATTGGCCGACCAACTAATCATCCAACTGACCGATCGTCTAAACAACCAACCAACAACTTCTTTATTTTAAAGCAACATTGAGGACCAATCACAAACCATCACCACTCTGTCTGTCCAGGTGAACAAACAAACAACAATGACAACACATGTAATAACCTGAGTGAACTATAGCTTCAGCACACAACAACAATAAAAACCCTCAGAAGTGAAATAGAGTGAGACCTGAAATCTGATGGCAGACAGGCTCTGCCCTCTCACCATGTCAGACTATTATCACTGGATCAATACAGGCTGTCAATCATGGCTCTGGGCCAATCGACACGTGACATGGGAACTGGTCGATGATGTCGGGGTCAATCAAGGTTGTGATGTGAAAACAGAGTCAGGGCAGAAAGTGAGCAGTGAACTCCCGAGGACTGAATCAGAGAGTAAATCTTACAGCACAATAATAAAGCAATGGTACAAAATGAGTTTCCTCGACAACTCAGTCAGACATTTCAAGTGAACTTGTGAACTTGTGAGAAAGAGCAGACGTCACGGTCAGAGCAAACCAAACCATAACACGTAAAAGTGTCTTCATGTGGAAAATTTTATTTTCCATTTTTAGTCTTAAACTGAAAAGTTCAACATTTTGGAAACACTCTCATTGGTTTTCTTGCTGACAGTCAGATGAGATCGATACAACTCTGTCTACTGTCTGTCCTCTAAATGTGAGAACACTCATTAGCACCTTTAAAGCCCAATAATCAGTGTTTATCTTATTTGTTTGGAAATAATCTGACACATATCAATCATAAAATGGCAATTTGTCATTTTGGCTGGTTGCTTTTAACCTTTGCACAGAGCCGGGTGAGATGTTTTCCTCTGGATCTAGTCTTTGTGCTAAGCTAGGTTAGCATGCTGCTAGTTGTAGATTTGTATTATTATTATTATTATTATTATATAATTCTATACAGACATGAGAGCAGCATCAGTCTTCCTATGTAATGCCTTCCACGAGTGCAAATAAGTGTTTCATAAACCGACTCTTCCTGTCAGGTTGGTCACCAGCCAGTTTCAGCCACAGATCATCATCGTAAAAGAAACAAATAAAGCAACTGACGGGAAAATAACTACCACTAACGAGCCAAAGACTTGCATCATGTCTGTTAGAGCCGGAGCCTGTTTATAAAGCTGGACTTCATGTCTCCGCTTCCCCGCACTATCCAGAAATGACGCCACAACATCGAGGATACGAACGCTGTCATCTTGCAAATTTGGAATCTGAGCAGAAAAGGTAGGGTCATGGAGCCACGACAATACACATGCTCGACCAATCACAAGTCAGTCTCAGCTGTCAATCATGAGGTTTCACCTGAGCAGGCAGGGTTTATGATCTATATCGCAGCCAGCCACTAGGGGGGAATTGAGACACTTTGGCTTCACTATGGTTAGAACAGTAACTTTGTGCTAATGATAGCCACCATAAGCTAACCATCAACCAAGCATTAAGTCCCACCTCCAGTTTGATCATCTTTGTCCGTGATCCCGGCGAATATTCCTGCCAGGCTGGTCTTTCCAACACCGTGGTCGCCTAGCAACACAACTCTATAAACGCAGTCCGAGTCGCTCTGCGAGTCGTTGTCTGAGTCTGAACTCCAGTGGGCACGATAGTGGAGGGATTTGTCACCGGGGTGATAGGAGGCCGACTGTCCAAGAGGAGGGTGGCTGCGCTGGGGACGGGGCTGCTCTGGGTCGGGCGGGGTGCTGCAGGGTAGCCCGGGTTCCCGAGTGCAAGATGGGTGTTGGGAGAAATGTCCGGGAGGAATGGGCATGCTGCCTCGCCGTCGCAGGGGCTGCTTCTCTCTTTGGGTGTTGAGGGTCATGTTGCTACGGCAAAGACATCAGGATGGGTCGGACCTGAGGGAGGAAACAGGATCAGTGAGGTTTCAGAATAGAGTCTGGTCCACTACTTTAAATGCTTCATCCCTCAGAGTCATCAGAGTTTGATTGGCTATTTGGTTGCACTGACACATCATCACTTTTTTAGTTGATGTGGTGAATGTGTTTACAAAACTTGTAGCTCTAGAGTGACTCATTTATTCATTTAAAGTCACACAGTCGCTCTCTTTTATCTCTCTATTTGGTCTCTACCAACACATTAAATAAAATTCTATTTAGCTGTTGAATGCTCCATGTGTTCACCAGCCGTCTCTTTCCATCCACTGTTTGTGAATGTACAATGGGTTTTAAAGCTGGTTCTCTGACAGCTGTCTGCATGACGCTATGAGAGCAGTAAATGTGAAACAAAACAGCCGAGTTGTGGGTGGACAGTTAAACAAAGAACTCAAAGTCACTGTGAAGCTCCATAAAGCCGAGGTTTGGGTTGTAACTCTCTGCAGGTTAATCTATACGATCAGTCATACATGGTCAAACATTATCATTTGAATTGAATGTTACCGACACCTTAAAATCCACTAAAGGCAGGTGAAGAAAGATATTTGTCTCTTTAAAAGAAAATGTTATCTAACCACTGCTGGAACCAATGTATATTAAATCTGCTCCCAACAAAACCTGTTTTAAAAACAACTTAAAAACTTCCAGTGCTGTCAAACTGGATCCTGCACTTAGACATGACCACTTTTATATTTTGGGCTTTTATTCGGTTTCTATACTATTTTTCATGTTTTCAACATTTTACCCCTTTTTTAAATAGTTATATGCTTCTTATCTGTTCTTTTTTTTTTACAACTTTTATTTCTGTAAAACACATTCATTGACCTCTGTGTGTGATGATACATAAGACAAATAACCCAAACTTAACACTGCAAACAACAAGACCATTATTCTGCAATATGTATATGATATTTTTACATGCCATATATTATTATATGTGACATCACCAAAGTGTGTTCAATGTGTTTCTGTTTCTGAAGTTGTGGTGGCAACAGTTTTACTGTAGCAGAATGTTTTTGGTCAAGAGAACAGAAATACTGGATTTTCTATTTTCTAAATATGAACATTACAAACAGGAACCAGAATGAGTTGAAGGGAATGTAATTTACTCAACTCAACATAAGGTGATCATTTGTAAACTCTCAGGTTGGATCCTGGTTAAACTGATTGGAGCTATGAAGACATCCGGTGCGGTCACTTGAGCTTCAGAGTTCTGTAAAATCCTGCTCCTAAGAATAAATAGTATTTTAAATGTACGCTCAATCATCCACAGCAGAACTACAAGCCACCAGAGGTCAAAGGTCACAGTTCCCCCATGTTAAATGTCATGCAGTAAACCACTGCTTGGTAGCTTGGTAGAAAGAATTTAGAGAACCACAGCAGGTGCTTTCAGTGACACCCAAAATTTCACTTCTACCTTTTTTGTGATGTTAATGGTAAAATATCCCAGAACATATGATGTATGTTTGGATAGATCATATGTGACGTTCACATGAGATCAAATGTGTGAAACTTTTACAGGCAAAATGTCTGAAAATCGCATGTGCTGATGTTAATGTGAATTTGCTTTGGGGCATTTCACAAACACGATTTTACATTAAACAAGTTTCACACATGCTCTTTGTAAACAAATGTTAATTTAAAGACAAAACCATTCAGCAGAATATTAGATTTAGAGATAGAGAGACAGACAGATAGACAGACAGATAGATAGATAGATAGATAGATAGATAGATAGATAGAGAGAGAGAGAGAGAGAGAGAGATTGCTTAAGGAGGTATAACTAGGACGAAGAGGTATGATCTTCATATTTTGTCAAATGTATTGTTGTTTATAAAGTGTTTAAAACTCTTAACTCTAAAAGAAGAGTTTA